TAGAATTGCATCGTCGGGTCTGTTTGGAGCTAGGTTTCTATTAAAAGCTTTACGAACTGCCGTTAGACCAGTAGTGTTATCGATATTGGTATACATAGAAGAAACGTCGATAGAAATTAAAATAGCATTAGAGGGAACTCGAAGATTTTTTATTTTATTGACAAAATCGGTTGTGACTTTAAGGTAGAAGTAGTAAGAAATGATCAATGTATTCTGACACTGCATATGACTCACTACCACAGTCAGATATAATCGGGCGGCCTTTAGAGATTTTATTCGAGATAAACCACTCCTTGGTTGGATTCTTATGGATTTTAGGCAAAGTGTACAAATGTCTCTCGCGACAATCAGGTTTGGCAGACAGATAGTCATATTGTTTCTGTTTGAGATAACTAGCTTTGACTAAATCGGCAAGAATATTGTTAATCATGTTAGCAGTTTCTTTGAAAATTGGTTTCGGTAAAATGGCATAATGTTTAGGATTATTCAGTTGATTCTCTGCTTCTGAAACGTAATCCTCCCTATTCAGAATGACACAACATGAACCTTTGTCACTCTTTTTAATAACAATGCTATCGTCTTTCTTAAGTACGTTTAACGCTTCACGTTCCACTCGTGTGAGATTAGGCTTTTCGTGTGTTATGGAAAGGTTCACTGTTTGGCTATTCATACTCGCAAATGCTTTTAATATTTCAGGATGGATGGCGGCCTGAGGGGGTGTCCACGTGGATTTAGGAATAAACATTGTTCTAGCACCACGTGGGGGTGATTTCGAAAAAAATATGTGCAATTCAAGTTAGCTATCTTTGGTGTGGGAATAAATTTAAGTCCACGGTCTAAGATTGAATGCTGAAGGGGTGTGAGAGTTTTGCGGCTCAAGTTAACTACAGTTTAGCCTAGCGGTGGCCTCTCAGTATTTTTATCCCCAGTAATTAGTTTAAAGACTTACTCGATGCTTGAAGCTGGTGTATCCAAAACAAATAAATGCTGTTTGCTGTTTCTGGAGACCAATGAAGATTATCAACTGTTTCTAATTCTTCTTCGTAGGAGTTGTTGCGCTGTTGATACTGGACTCCATCATCATGTTGTTGAGAGTGCTGAGGTTCTGTTGTGCTTTCTTCGAGATTTTATTTGAAATGGGTATACATGTGAAGAGGATCTTGGAGTTTGGGAAGGTTTTGTTGGCTGTGGCGATTAATTTCTAGGCTTGGTTAAAGGAGGTCTTTGGTAGCTGATCGCGGTTGTTGAGGCCTACATGAAGAATAATGGTAGTAGGTTTGGGATCATGGTCGTATGATTCCAGGATCGACTGTATGTGATGGATTTGGGCACCGGGGTAAGAATGTATTTCAGTGTCTGAACTGGTTTTGGTAATTCGGTTATATGTTATGTTATAGTCTGATTGGATGAGTAAGTTAGAATTTCGTAAATTACGTAGTGGAATTATTTGAGTTTTGTAAAGATTTGGACTTGGACTAAGAAGAGAGTTGTGTCGTCTGCATACTGCATTATTTTGAATTCCTTATTTCTCAATCTTATACCGTTTATTTCGGTGTCATTTTTTATCAAGTTACTTAAGACCTCTGCGCATAAAATAAATAAGTATGGGGAAAGTGGGTCACCTTGTCGACATCCACTAGAAATAGTGAAAATTCAGATAAAAATTTGTTTTGAAGAATGAAAATTATATAAATAATTGTTGTTTATACGAAACTCTTATTTACGACAATCGCGACTTTAGACCACGTTTTTTCTTGACCGCAAGTTGCTATACACAATTATATACCTGTTTCTCAATTTTTTGTTATGAAAGACTCTTTAACTCGACGAAGTGGAAGGAAAAGGTCAGCGACTAAACGTTTAGAAGAGGCGTCTGATTCAAGCGAATCTGACTCAATTCAATGCGGTCAAGAAAATTTAGGCCCATTATCGGAGCAAGCTGGGAAGCGGAACAGTTTTAGAAAAGCTTCCGTCTGGCTCACAGTTACAGCTCCCTGCGGCACCGAAGAGAAGAATTGATTCCAAGAATTCAACTTCCCATCCATCAATCTCAGATGATCTTAAATCTATTATTAAAGATGTGTGTGCACAAACTGTGAATGAATTAGTGGAGAAAAGACTAGGACCTACTACTGGTATGTTTCACACGGGCCCAACTACTACTTCAAGCAACATTGATAAGAACCCAACAGTAGTCATCAATGCTCCCACGCCCAGTGCTTATGATTGTGTTCCTACTGACGATAGCAGAGCTTCATGTATTGTTGTTCCGGAGGACAGTTCAGTGTTTGCTCATTCCTTACTAAATCCTAGGTTACAGAATGCTACAATTACTCAAGAAACCCAATTTGGTGTTAATCTTTCTACCATTGCAGCTGTTGATTTGGTGTCCCTAGATAATAGAAGTAACATTCTTTCAGGTAAAGATGTTAACCTTAACTCTCTACTTATTCCTAACTACATGCTTCCTTCCAAAAAATGTGAAAGGATGTCTAGAGACCTAACCTTAGATGAAACGGCTCATATTTGGCCGAGTAAATTTTTTGTGTATTATAAATTGGTTTCCGCTAAATGTGCCAGGTTACTCTTACAAAGAAATATTAAAGTGGATTGGTCTCAAGGTGATATTGGATTGCGACAGATTGGATAAGGTCAAATCCCGTGTTAGTGTTTCGTGTTAGTTTTCGGGGAAGGGAGGGTTTGATTCTCCCAAATGTACAGGCCTAGGGTGGAGCAGACACTTAGAAATTAGGATTAAGGGTCTTGATATTGGGTTTTCTTCTGTTCTTATTCTGATCTTCCCCTTCCACACCATCTGAGTCTTCACCACGTGATCCAGGATCCGCCAACCTTTCTTCCTTCTGTGCGTTTTTGGACCAGCAAACCACCCCTCAGTTTCCATCCTAGTCGACGACCATTATATCCGCTACCAAACCGTATTATCACCAAACCAAGGACAAATCATTATGGAAGCTACCTGCTCTAAAGAAATATAATTGGATCATCTAACCTGAATCTTCTGTTCTTATTCTGATCTGAAATTAGAAAAAATAACTCGCCCAATGGGCGAGAAGTATAGTATCTGTTATGTACTGATTGTTGTTAGTTTACTATGAACAATATTATCATTTAAGTTCTTATTTTTTGAATATGCAACTATCATTTTCTGCTTATAGACATGGGGGAATTTCTCTTGAAGGCTCTTATAGTGGGCATGAACTATCTTGCTTGCTCGATTGCTGGTTGTATTAAACGGGACAACAAAGGGTGCTATGCCTACATTATGATGAATATTTAGTCCTATAGGTCTTGCTGTATTCAATGTCTCAATCCAATGGGCCTCCCTAGATTGACGGAATTTGGTAGTTTCATCTTCGGGCAAGTCAATTTCTATACGCTCAATTGGGATTAGGGTGAGAACGTCTATTGAATGGTCGTCGAGGTTGAAATGATTAGAAACAGGCTTGTCTTTCTATAATTTGATGTCTGACCTATGAGCATTAAAGCGAGTTCGTAAATTATTCTTAGTTTATCCTACATATTGTTTGGGGCATTTCTTGCATGAAATTAAATATATTAAATTCGAATGTTCACATGTTAGATCTTCCTGGATCGGGTACCTTTTATTCGTAGAGTTGCTTACAAAATAATGAGTTTCTGATATAAAGGGACATGTATTGCATCTACTGGACAAACATGGAGCACTTCTTAAACCTGGAGGTACTTCGGCATAAAGTCTGTTTTTAGCTGCTATCTGTGCTAAGGTGGAATTTTTTATGTTTCGTAAAAATCGTTTAGAGTACCCACGCTCTTTCAGTTTTGAGAAAACAATCGTACAGGCTTGGTTGAAATCAGAAGATCTTGTACAAATTCGATGAAATCGTAAAACTTGTGACTTAATTATACCAAAAAAGGTATGTTTTGGGTGAAAGGAGCTCTTGTGCAAGAGTTGATGAGTATCAGTTTCTTTGAAATACACTTTAATATCCAGTTTATTTGTTTCTGCTATGGAATCTCCCTTAAAGACTGTGGTATCGGGAAAGTCTATGCTTTTTTCACTCACGTTTGCGGTTAGTTTGATAGAAGGATGGTGGTTGTTTAGAATTTCAAAGAATTCCCAAAACTGTTCGATAGAATAAGTCCAAACCATAAAAATGTCATCCAAAAAGCGTCCGTAAAAAAGTGGGTCAAATGGACAGAGGGGAAACACCTCACGTTCCCACTCTGCCATGAAAAGATTTGCGTACGAAGGGGCGAATCGTTTGCCCATTGCTGTCCCTGAAGTTTGTAAATATGTTTTACCATTAAATGTGAAATCGTTTCGACTAAGACAAATCTCTAAAAGCTGTAGAATTGCATCGTCGGGTCTGTTCGGATCTGGGTTTCTATTAAAAGCTTTACGAACTGCCGTTAAACCAGCAGTGTTATCGATATTGGTATACATAGAAGAAACGTCGATAGAAATTGAGGGAAATAGCATTAGAGGGAACTCGAAGATTTTTTATTTTATTGACAAAATCGGTTGTGTCGATGTTGGCATGCTAGAGGTAGTAAGAAATGATCAATGTATTCTGACACTGCATATGACTCACTACCACAGTCAGATATAATCGGGCGGCCTTTAGGGATTTTATTCGAGAGTGCTGAGGTTCTGTTGTGCTTTCTTCGAGATTTTATTTGAAATGGGTATACATGTGAAGAGGATCTTGGAGTTTGGGAAGGTTTTGTTGGCTTGGTTAAAGGAGGTCTTTGGTATCTGATCACGGTTGTTGAGGCCTACATGAAGAATAATGGTATTAGGTTTGGGATCATGGTCGTATGATTCCAGGATTGACTGTATGTGATGGATTTGGGCACCGGGGTAAGAATGTATTTCGGTGTCTGAACTGGTTTTGGTAATTCGATTCGATCCAATTATTAAGGTAGATTTCTTTAGAGCAGGTAGTTTCCATAATGATTTGTCCTTGGTTTGGTGATAATACGGTTTGGTAGCGGATATAATGGTCGTCGACGGTGTGATTGGTACTGGTTTGGTAGTTGTTAGAATTGTAGCATTGGGAACGGACTGGGATCTGGTTCGAGGAGGGGAAGGTCTGGATACACGTCTCGACTTGGAAGAAAGGTTGGCGGATCCTGGATCACGTGGTGAAGATTCAGATGGTGTGGAAGTGGAAGACGAGTCTGAAAGTGAAAAGAGAAGGGGTGTGCCCTCTCTACGAGAGCGTTTACCTTTGTCTGCTGGACTAGGAGTAGGTAAACTTCGGGCTCGTTTAGGGGTTTGATGATTTGATATAGTATATTAAAGCTTTATTTGAACGTATTTATTATTTCTTAACGCGGTTTATTTGGTGTTAGTCCACAAGACTTGACTTCATACTGTTGTTCCGTGTTAGCCCTGATATAAAAATTATCAACATGATGTAAAGCATAGTATTAACACAATTTCTCTTTAGTGTTAGTGTTAATATCGATGATGCGATTTCAGAGAAGAACACATTATTTGCGGGTGAAAATGACATAATTAGGTAATTTCCTTTGGCAATCGGTTTTACTTTACAGTTTGACATTCGGTACTCAAATTCTAATCGATTCCCATCTGAAATAAGGCTTAAAATGGATTTAGAAATTAATTAACGAAACAAAAACCAGAGTAACCATATCTCTACCAACTGAAATGGACACAACACCGGCACCATCTAGAGCCACCACGCTGCCGAACCAAATCCCTAAACGAGCCCAAAGTTCACCTTCTCCTAGTCCAGCAGACATAGGTAAACGCTCTCGTAGAGAGGGCACTCCCCTTTTCTTTTCACTTTCAGACTCGTCTTCCCCTTCCACACCATCTGAATCTTCACCACGTGATCCAGGATCTGCCAACCTGTCTTCCTTCTGTGCGTTTTTGGACCAGCAAACCTCCCCTCAGTTTCCATCCTAGTCGAGACGTGTATCCAGACCTTCCCCTCCTCGAACCAGATCCCAGTCCGTTCCCATTGCTACAATTCTAACAACTACCAAACCAGTACCAATCACACCGTCGACGACCATTATATCCGCTACCAAACCGTATTATCACCAAACCAAGGACAAATCATTATGGAAGCTACCTGCTCCAAAGAAATATAATTGGATCATCTAACCTGAATCGAATTACCAAAACCAGTTCTTACCCCGGTGCCCAAATCCTTCACATACAGTCAATCCTGGAATCATACGACCATGATCCCAAACCTACTACCATTATTCTTCATGTAGGCCTCAACAACCGCGATCAGCTACCAAAGACCTCCTTTAACCAAGCCCAGAAATTAATCGAACCAGTTGATAATCTTCATTGGTCTCCAAACCAGCAAACATCATTTATTTGTTTTGGATACACCAGTTTCAAGCATCGAGTTAGTCTTTAAACTAATTACTAGGGGGTAAAAATAATGATAGGCCACCGCTAGGCCAAACTGTAGTTAACTTGAGCCGAAAAATTCTCACACCCCTTCAGCATTCAATCTTAGACCGTGGACTTAAATTTATTCCCACACCAAAGATAGCTAATTTGAATTATCTCCGACCATCCATCTTTAAACTAATTACTGGGGAAAAAAATACTGAGAGGCCACCGCTAGGCCAAACTGTAGTTAACTTGAGCCGCAAAATTCTCACACCCCTTCAGCATTCAATCTTAGACCGTGGACTTAAATTTATTCCCACACCAAAGATAGCTAACTTGAATTATCTCCGACCATCCATTGAACGATTTCAACGAAATCTTAGCTGCACATATTTTTTTCGAAACCACCCCCCACGTGGTGCTAGAACAATGTTTATTCCTAAATCCACGTGGACACCCCTCAGGCCGCCATCCATCCTGAAATATTGAAAGCATTTGCGAGTATGAATAGCCAAACAGTGAACCTTTCCATAACACACGAAAAGCCTAATCTCACACGAGTGGAACGTGAAGCGTTAAAACTTACTTAAGAAAGACGATAGCATTGTTATTAAAAAGAGTGACAAAGGTTCATGTTGTGTCATTCTGAATAGGGAGGATTACGTTTCAGAAGCAGAGAATCAACTGAATAATCCTAAACATTATGCCATTTTACCGAAACCAATTTTCAAAGAAACTGCTAACATGATTAATAATATTCTTGCCGATTTAGTCAAAACTGGTTATCTCATTTGTACACTTTGCCTAAAATCCATAAGAATCCAACCAAGGAGTGGTTTATCTCGAAT